TTTAACCCTGTACCAATCCCATGGCACCATTGGAAGCAGCCTGTACCCAAGAAGAGGGTTTGGGACAGTGATGACTAGAAGAGATGAGCTGTTTTCCCACAGGGTAGATGAATAATACTGGACCACCACTGTTTTTACCCCAGGGCATCAACAGCCACAACCAAGTGTACCAGATCCCCCCCATCTCTGCCACCCAGCCTGCATCTCATCCATCCCCTTCCCATTTGCCCAGCTCCTAAAAGCCCAAACCAGCTCACCTAAGGCACAGACTAAAGCTCCATCTCCTGTGCTGCACTGACACGATTCCTGTCTCAAACAGGGAGGGCTGTGAGGTTCAGACTAAGACTTTCTCTATGCTTGAATACAGAGAACTCCCTCTCCTTTGTATGATGGGAACATCATATGTACCCTCCCTATGTACCATGGGAAAGGAGTTTCAAGTAAGGTACTGGGATCTGGGCTTAGCCCAAAAAGCCGGGTTTAATTTCTAATGCAATAGTCAAGCGCTGCTGCCAGAAAGAGATGCTGATGCTGCCCTCACCAGCTCCAAAACCTGCTTTGTCTCAGCAGGGAGCAGCCACCTCACTTAAGTGGATGCACTAAACCAGCACTCTTCAGGACTCGCTTCCCAGCTCAGGCTGATGTCTGGTGATGCTGCACCTCGACTCCTGTGTTCAGTTCAGGGCCCTCATTGCAAGAGAGACATTGAGGTGCTGGAGCGGGGCCAGAGAAGGGCAGCGGAGCTGGTGCAGGGCCTGGAGCCCAAGTGTGATGGGGAAGGGCTGAGGGAGCTGGGGGGTTCAGTGTGGAGAAGAGAAGGCTCAGGGGGGACCTGATCGCTGCCTACAAGTGCCTGAGAGGAGGATGGAGCCAGGAGGGGCTGGGCTCTGCTCCCAAGGAACAAGGGATGGGACAAGAGGAAACGGCCTCAAGCTGCACCAGGGCAGGTTTAGATGGAGCTGAGGAACAATTCCTGCCCCAGAGGGTGCTCAGGCATTGGAACAGGCTGCCCAGGGCAGGGCTGCAGTCACCAGCCCTGCAAGTGTTCACACCCCGTGGAGACGAGGCCTCAGTGCCATGGGGCAGTGGTGGCCTTGGCAGTGCTGGGAACGGTTGGACTGGATGAGCTTAAAGGGCTTTCCCAACCCAATTGATTCTATAACTCTATACAATGGTTTCTCTCCCTCCAATGCACTCAAGCATCAGCCCTCTGGCTTCCCCGTGCTGCACGACGAAGGCATCCTGCAAACAACCACTGCAGCCAAAGCCCCATGAGAGGGCTCAAACAGCTGCTGCCTCTGCAAAGCTCTGGCATCCAGAGCAGGGCTCGAGGCCAGGGGACAGCAGGCAGGAAGGGAGGGAAGGAAGGAGGGAGGACACCCCGCTGGAGAGACTACGGCTGAGCCCATTCCAGGAAAGGCTGCAACACCAGAGGCTAGAGCAAAACAGCCTAGGAAGGGTTATCCGTGAGCTGTTTCAACAAAGCCCTTCAGCATCCCCTTTGCCCCCTGCCCAGAAGAACCTTAAGCAAGAGGAGGAGCACTGCAGAAGTTGCTTTTATTGTTCCCAAAGCTGTCCCAGTTTTTGGAACCTCATGGAAAAGCAGAAAGGATGAGGGCAGGTCCTGGTTGAGAAGGAAGGGGTGCACACACGAGGGATGGGCTCTTTAGGTCTGTACTAGTGCCACGTAAATACACGGGAATGAGATCCTGCCTCTGCCGAAGCTCAATGCCAGCACACCAGTGAGTTCACCACATTTACTTCCCACATGCAAGTGCTTTGCCCAAAGAACTTAGCTCTGACGTTCCACTTCTCTGCACGGATCACGGACAACAGCAAACAGTGCTTCTAATAGCTGACAGCTTTGACTTCCACTCTCACAGCAAAGCTGAGGCATGGGGAGCTCTTGTGTTTTATCACCCACTTTCAGCTGAAACTGCTATTCTATGGCTCTCCAAAGCAAACCATGGCCATGGTCCTGAGAGATAAGAGATGTATGTACACCCCATCCCCTCCTTGCAGACAGCGTCCCTGGGGCTGACACACTGCATTTCTGGGTCAGGAAGTCCCAAAGCAGCACGTGCCAAAAGCTGGGAGCATCATTCCGTTTAGCTTTTCTAAGCAAGAATAAAACGGGATTGCCTAAGGAATGATTTGCTGGTTGTGATAGGAGGAAGATGCTGCAGGGACTTAAATGTGGCTTAGTAACTGCATCATCCAATTACTACACAAGAGAGCAGCTGATTGGAATTTCATGGACACTTTGGACCCTACAGGATAGTGCATTAAATTGGAGAAGCTGATGGTGTTTCCCATCATATATATATTTATCATATATATATATGATGGGAATATATGATATATATATATCATCTATATCCCTATATATATATATATCCATATATAGGGATATAAATCAAAATCCCTAACACCCAGATGCACCACGTTTGCATTCTGGAAGATGCTGGGACCTTTTGCTGGGCTTTCTCCTTTGGAGAGCTGGTATGAATTCAGACAGAATCGGGTCCAGCCACTCAAAACATCACTTTGCATTGGCTGGTCGGCACAAAGCAGTTCTTCCCCCATGAAATTCAGTCACTTTTGCCAAAATGAACAACTGAAAGAAAGAACCTGGAGAAAACCCATAGGGAAAGAGACTTCTGGAACGTTCAGCTGTAAGCAGGGCTGATGTGAGCTCACATTCTGGTTTTTATGATGATTTTGGGGTCAAGGGATCTAGATAGCTTTGATCAAATGATCTGACCAGACAGCAGCATCAGGGAGTCTGCTGTTGCTCAGTGTAAACTCCTTCTGGTGCCAGGGCTGCTGGCAAAGTTCCCGTTGTCTGGTGCAGAAGAAAGACCATCTCCATGTCTAGCCAAGTGCACAGGACCATGTCTGTATGTAGGACTCACTTCCAGCACCCATTCCTACTACCAGCCCATGCCAGAAGAAGCCTCTATTCAACCATCCCCTGCTAATTGCTTTAAAGGTGCCTTCCAACCCAAACTGTTCTATGAGCCTATGAAACAGCAGAGCTGGCTGGCTGGCAAGAGCTTGAAAACTTGAATTCACCCCATGCTTCAGCAGGGATGGGCTTGGATTAGATGAGCGTGACACCATTCGGGTGAAGACCAGGAGGTCAGAAAGCTTTCTTATAAAGGCTTCAGGCTGATGGTACTTTGCTGTCTGACCTCACGTCCTCTTAAGCACGAGCGGATGCTACATGCCTGAATGCCAAGTGAGCTGAAAGCCAGAAAAGCAGATGGAGAAGAGCTCTGAGCCATTGATGCTCAGCAGAAGATGAGCAAACTTTGCCCCTCTACAAGTGAACCAAACTCCCTGTCATTAGACATAGGTCTGAACGGGTGTCTGTCTGAATGCAAGCCCCAGCAAGAGGGTGTCAAATACATCCCTACCCTTTAGTCCCAAAGATGCTCAGAAAGCCTCAGGCATCACCTATGTGCTGTATAAATGGGATGTAAAAGTGTGCTGATGTTGTCTCCCACAGTGAGACCAAACCACGGTGGGCCCTGCCTTCAGCAGGCAGCAGTGCACGGAGCATCCTCACCCAGAAGATGAGGGTAATAAACTAAACCCCATACAGAGCTTTGTACAAAGCCTGCGGCCACACAGAGCTGGTGTGGAAGAGCCCAAGGCAGAGCAGAGGGGAGCGCGACCTCCTCCCACCAGGAGCCTGGTGGGATGCTGCAGGGCTCAGCCACACAGAAACTCAGTTCAGCTCCATCCCTCCCTTCACACAAAGGCTTTTTGTCCTCGGCCCCAGACTGCCCTCGCCCACACAGACCCAGCTCTGTCCTGCAAAAGGGCAGATGCTTTCCTGTGCTGCCAGAGGGGATGAAGATGACGAGAGCATCACATGCGACCCTGCATGTAAAACAGCACGGGCTGGGCAGAGAGATCTGCTTCTCCTTGCAGGCAAGAAGGAAACCCCACTGATGTGACACTGCCTCTCTGCAACCACAGTTATCATTGCCCTCTGGGGCCGTGGTACTTCATGGGAGTCAGAGAAGTGGCCACATAGCCCTGGCAGTGCTGGGGAATGGTTGGATTTGATGATCTTGAAGGTATTTTCCAGCCTGGTTGATTCCATGTCTCTAGGATCAATCTCAAGCAGATGGCCATGGCAGGACATGCAAATTCCCCACACTGCCCTCCAGATCTGATTGTGCATCCTTTGGGCAGGCACTGCGACAGCAGAAGGGGCACAGGCAGCACTGGGGACAGGCAATGTTACCTCCAGCCTCCCAGAACCTGCCTCCATGACAGACAGAGCAGCACGGGGGACAATGCGGAGGGGAAGGATGGGTTAAGAACACTCAGCTCCCAAAGACTCACAAACCACCTCACTGAGAATCACAAAGCGATTTGGGCTGGAAGGGACCTTAAAGCTCATCCAGCTCCAACCCCTGCCATGGGCAGGGACCCCTTCCACTACAGCAGCTTGCTCCAAGCCCCTGTGTCCAACCTGGCCTTGAACACTGCCAGGGATGGGGCAGCCACAGCTTCTCTGGGCACCCTGTGCCAGCGCCTCAGCACCCTCACAGGGAAGAGCTTCTTTATATCTAACCTTATATCTGACTTTCTTTATATCCACCTACCCAAAGCTTATCTGCTTTTCCTTTTCAAATGGACCATCAAGAGTATTCATAGATAACACTTTGCTCTGCTGGACCCACCAGGCTTGATAAGAGTACCCAACACCAACCCGGCTGCAAACCATCTCTGTTTTATGCATGGGGAAACTGAGTCACAGAGAAGCCTCCTTTTCTCTTGGCCCTCACTGGGGGTAAAGCAGACTGTACCCGCGTGCCTCAGGTCTCACTGGCATCCCACAGGCTCACAGCACCAAGCCCCAGCAAATAAACCCTGGTGGGGAGAGGAAATGTTGGCTGAGGCTTGGAGCCCTTGGCGAAGGACGCACTGTGCATTTGGGGATGCTGGAGGGCGGGAGGCTCCGTTGGGATGGGTGTACTTACTTTGGGTCGCTTCCACTGGATGCCCTGGATCCTTGACTTGTAGAACAGTGAATCATCATTGGCAGGGAAAAGCGGGTCCTCGAAGAGCTGCTTCCTCCGCTGACATTCCTTCTTCAGGGAGGCGTAGCGCTGGTTCTCGTAGGGCTTCACCGAGGAGAACATCCTTCCCCACCGGCCCTGGAGGATGGGAAAAGTGGGAATGAGATGGGGCAGGGTCTGCCCAGGGACACTCAGTCCTCCCCTGCAGGACCTGAGCGGCAGGACCAAGACATCACAGCTCACCTACATTGCTAAACCCCACTTCTGGAGTCCCATGAAGCACGCCTGGCTCCCTCCTGGAGGTATCACAGAATCATAGAATCAATGAGGTCAGGAAAGCCCTTTAAGCTCATCCAGTCCAACCATTCCCCAGCACTGCCAAGGCCACCACTGCCCCATGGCACTGAGGCCTCGTCTCCACGGGGTGTGAACCCTTGCAGGGCCGGTGACTGCAGCCCTGCCCTGGGCAGCCTGTTCCAATGCCTGAGCACCCTCTGGGGCAGGAATTGTTCCTCAGCTCCATCTAAACCTGCCCTGGGGCAGCTTGAGGCCGTTTCCTCTTGTCCCATCCCTTGTTCCTTGGGAGCAGAGCCCAGCCCCTCCTGGCTCCATTCTCCTCTCAGGCACCTGTAGGGAGCAATCAGATCCCCCTTGAGCCTTCTCTGTTCCACACTGAACCCCCCAGGTCCCTCAGCCCTTCCCCATCACACTTGGGCTCCAGGCCCTGCACCAGCTCCGCTGCCCTTGCCTGGCCCCGCTCCAGCACCTCAGTGTCTCTCTTGTAGTGAGGGGCCCAGAACTGAACATGGGATTCGAGGTGCAGCCTCACCAGTGCTTCATCACCAATTTAAACAGGTAGGGAAAATCCTACATATAAATGAGGAGGGACCAATGACTCCTCTAAGCCCAAGCATACCTTTGCTGGTCCTTGGACACAGGATTCCCATTTATCCCCCAACCCGACCAAAACAGGCAGAACAGGAGAAGACCTGCTTCTTAGTGAATTTGTAACTCCTTTGGGAAAAACAGAGCTCCCAGAGGCAAAGGAGGAGAAGACATCCCCTGCAAGACACGTTTCATGGGGCTAAGCCCTATCCAGAGCATCCCCTCCATGCAGCCTTGAATCACAGAATGGTTTGGGTTGAAGGGATCTTAAAGCTCCTCCAGTTCCAACCCCTGCCACAGGCAGGGACCCCTTCCACTAGAGCATCTTGCTCCAAGCCCCTGTGTCCAACCTGGCCTTGAACACTGCCAGGGATGGGGCAGCCACAGCTTCCCTGGGCACCCTGTGCCAGCGCCTCAGCACCCTCACAGGGAAGAGCTTCTGCCTAAGAGCTCAGCTCAGTCTCCCCTCTTCCACTCATGGACACACATTCCATGATCTCATCGGACACAGCCTCTCAGCAGACTTTAGCAGATCTGGGTTTAATTAAAAAAAGGCCTCCTGGCAGCCTGCCGCGTGTTTCTGGATTAATTATTGTGTCCTGACAGTGCCTGGGCAGAGATGTAAATTTAGCAGTCCAGAAAACAGCAGGAAACCTCTGCCCAAATGCCTCCCGAAGAGAGAGCAGTGCCTCTCCATCACCGCTCCATCGCCGCTGCCTTTAGGCCACTGGGTACCAGCCCCTTTGCTCGCGTCCCCACCTCTTCACCCTGCAGGTCAAACCACCTTGCCCCACAGCAGGCACAAGGAAAAGGGATGCTCTGCAGTGAGGGTGCTGAGGCACTGGAATGGGTTGCCCAAGGAAGCTGTGAATGCTCCACCCCTGGCAGTGTTCAAGGCCAGGTTGGAGAGAGCCTTGGGTGCCATGGTTTAGTGTGAGGTGTCCCTGCCCATAGCAGGGGGGCTGGAACTGGATGATCTTAAGGTCCTTTCCAACCCACAGCATTCTGTGATTCTATGATTCCACTAAATCACAGACGTTTTTCCAAAGCTCTTTCCCTACTTTCTCTGTATTTATAACAGCCATGTACAACCCTTCCCTCTCCCCCAAATGGGATGTCCTTTCCAAAATGCTGACCATCAGTGACTCTAGTCAGGAAACGAGTCTGGTTTCCTAAAGAACTGGAGGTCTGTGCCCCATAATCCCAGAGCTGTGGTCTCCAACACCATTCACGGTATAACAAAGGATGCCCCAGATGCATCCAGCAAGCTGACCTCTCATTGCTCCCAAAGAGACATAGAGAAACCATATGCTTATTGTCCCATCACATATGGTGGGACACGGAAGCTGCACTAAAGGCTAATTGGAAGCAGCTAATCTGTAAAGATCCCAAATCCCTGGGATTATATGATCATTTACAGTTGGGCATCAGTTTGGGAGCAGTCAGATCCCTGTTAATGAATCACTGGGATTAGCTGAAGGGAAGAAGTTGTTTGAGAGCTCAACCAATGCCTGCGCTTATCAGAGCGATGCTCCAAGAGCACCATCCAGCCTCCTCTCCTCTGGGAGGGATGAAAACACTTCACTTTGCAAAGCAGAAGAGCAAAGCACAGGTTTTAATTGATGCAGTTTATCAGCCTGATTAACAGCACAAGCACTCATCACTCAGAGCTTAAGTGAACCCAAAATAACCCCCTTGTTGGCTGTTCCACAGGTATCAGTAGCTAAAGCAGCTTGTGGGATGCTCTGTGCCACGCAGCCACCTTTATCCAAATCATAGAATCAACCAGGTTGGAAAAGACCTTTAAGAGCATCCAGTCCAACCATTACAGCACTGCCAAGGGCACCACTAACCCATGGCACTGAGGGCCTCATCTACATGGTTCTTGAAGACTTCCAGGGATGGCGATTCCCTCACTTCCCAAATCACGTAGTGTGTCCCAGCCTCACACCCTGGGATGCAATGACTGGTAATGACTGTGCAAAGGGGCAATTAGGCCTTTAATTAAACACGATCTGAACTGTGTGGACCCTGTAGTATGGACTGGGGACAACAGGTAGATGCATCTCCCACAAGGAGACCATTGGCACTGGATGGCCAACAACCCACTGACTCCAATGTCTCCCTAATCCCATATCCCCAGTGTGGAGGAAGAGCATTTAGTGATCCTCCAGGATGGTTGATTTGAGATTTTATAGTTTATAACATCTTAGCTTGCAGGATAAAGCCAGGGAGAGCATCTCTGCCTTCAGTGTACTGTATAACCAACTCTATTAGGAAACTAAGGCTAGGACCTTTCCTGCATAGGACCAGATACACAAGCATGAATACACACAGGAGCCTTTGAAGACAGCTCAGAATATCGAGGTGCTGTGGTACAAAGTGATGCTCACAGGATTTTCTCCTTGGCATCAGGATCAGTTCCCAGATGCTGCAGAGAGGCCCGAGTGCATCGCCTGCCCTTGGAAAAGCCTTAAATATAAATGGCCTGATACAAAAACCTTAATAAAACACCAGATTTACTCCTTGTAGAAGAGCAGACAGCCTCTTTGAGCAGTCAGGGAATGCAGCCAGTCATCAAAACACACATCCACCCTGCTAGGAGGGCAAAGGAGGAGCTAGCCTCTGGACCTTCAGCAGAGAAAGGGGGTGAAGGACAAGGGACCCGTCCCCAGGGAAGTCTTGGGGACATCTTAGCAGTGAATGAGCTCCTTCTGAGTGACAACCAGGCAGGACTTTCACAGTGACAGCACCCACTGCTATAGAGACACAGGCAGTGCTGGGAAGGGGTGGTTGGCAGCTGCCTTCTGCATGAATACCACGGCCCGAGAGAAAGGATGCTGCTGTTCACTGAGATGGGAGGTGAATGGCTTGGACTTGTGCATGAGCTGGTCTGACAGATGCGAAAGGACATTTCCGTGGGAGGCTGTGCAGGAAGAACCAGTGAGATTCAGGGGAAAAGCCTGGAGAGGAGGAAGAGAATCATGGAAAGGTTTGGGTTGGATGGGACCTTAAGGCTCATCAAGTTCCAACCCCCTGCCATGGGCAGGGACCCCTTCCACTAGAGCAGCTTGCTCGAAGCCCCTGTGTCCAACCTGGCCTTGAACACTGCCAGGGATGGGGCAGGTGCCTTTCTAAAGGCCACGGTTGTGTTAAGGCAGGAGTTATGGCTTTGATGCAGGAGATGCTGCACCCTGCTCCCAACCTGTCCCGTGGCCAAGGGCTGGCACTTGGCTGCTCATTCATAAAATGACTGCTCCTCCCCAGCCAGCTCTGCAACAACAGCTTGGAGCTGTGTTTTCCTATGTCCCTTGCAACACTGACAGCCAAGAGACACCCAAAACGTCCATCCCTATGAGAACAGGACCATGGTTCTTCCCAAGCAGCTCCAGCCTAATCTGCCTGGGGCAAGAGGACCAGCTCCTCGCTGTGCTATCCCACTATACAGTGACTATCCCCTCGAGAGCCATCCGTCGTTGCTGCGGGGCTGCTCTCATGTGATGGAGGTGGATTTGAGCTGGACAGGGAATGGCAAGCAGAAGGAGAGGGGATAATGTTCAGGATCATTTAAAGGCAAAACTTAATTGGGAAATAATTAAAAGGAAGGGGCCGTGGGGAGCGCTCCGAGGGCAGCGTTAGAATTCATTACTCTCTCTAATTTGCAGCATTTCATGCTTACTGGGCTGAACATCAGGTCTGCCACATTAAAATGCTCAAGGGCTAATGACTCTTCGCCTTCTTGCAGCCAGCCAGGATGCTTCAGGAGGACAAGAAGCGGGTGTTTTCATGCCTGGTTGGAATGAACAGCCCTCCACGTGCATTGAGCAGGGAGGGGAATCTGCACTCCCACCTCTTAGAGCCGAATGATGGGGAACAGAGGTTTGAGCCCAACCTTAATCCAGCCACAGAGCAGTTAAATAGGAAAGCATTTATTTGGAGCACTGAGCCAGAGTTATGACTCAGGGTGTTGTGGACTCCCCCGTTTCACTCCAGCATCATCCAGCTCCTGCCAGCTGGTAATGAGCATAATTCCAAGCACTGCAATGGGGAGAAGGATTGGAAGTGCTTGTGTTGGCCAGGACCAAATACTTGCTGAAAGGCTCTTCCTTGCTCCGCACAAACCGCTTCCTCTCCTTCACTTCCAGCCAGGAGGATCCTGTACCAAGGGAGCTGGCACGGGATCACCGTGCTTGACTTATCGCAAGGCTGCACCCTAGCCAGGAGCAAAGGGCTCCTTTCTTATCGATCCTATA